TGGATCAATGTGGATGAAGAAATCTGTACCAGAAGAAAAGTGAAAAAAATATATGCCAAAGCATAGGAGCGATCCACCCACTGACCGCCCCCGGCCCCCATGCTTGGGCATATATGTTCTTTTTTTAACTGCGGATGAGAAATCTCCTCCTGCAGCACTGCAAGGACTGACCTGTATATTGTGAGGGCAACACCCTGTTGCTGTCAGAGTAAACATGTCAGTGCTGCAGAAATAGTGCCCCATCGTTGGTGTCAGTGGGAGGAATAGTGCCCCATCATTGGTATCAGTGGGGAGGAATAGTGCCCCATCGTTGGTGTCAGTGGGGAGGATAGTGCCCCATCATTGGTGTCAGTGGGAGGAATAGTGCCCCATCGTTGGTGTCAGTGGGGAGGAATAGTGCCCCATCATTGGTGTCAGTGGGATAGGAATAGTGCCCCATCGTTGGTGTCAGTGGGGAGGAATAGTGCCCCATCGTTGGTGTCAGTGGGGAGGAATAGTGCCCCATCGTTGGTGTCAGTGGGGAGGAATAGTGCACCATCGTTGGTGTCAGTGGGGAGGAATAGTGCCCCATCGTTGGTGTCAGTGGGGAGGAATAGTGCCCCATTCGTTGGTGTCAGTGGGGAGGAATAGTGCCCATCGTTGGTTTCAGTGTGCCCCATCGAGGAGTGGGGATTATGTGCCCCATCGTTGGTGTCAGTGGGGAGGAATAGTGCCCCATCGTTGGTGTCAGTGGGGAGGAAAGTGCCCCATCGTTGTGTCAGTGGGGAGGAATAGTGCCCCATCGTTGGGTGTTCAGTGGGAGGAATAGTGCCCCATCATTGGTGTCAGGGGGAGGAATAGTGCCCCATTTGGTGTCAGTGGGAGGAAGAGTGCCCCATCGTTGGTGTCAGTGGGGAGGAATAGTGCCCCATCGTTGGTGTCAGTGGGGGGGAATAGTGCCCCATCGTTGGTGTCAGTGGGGGGGAATAGTGCCCCATCGTTGGTGTCAGTGGGGAGGAATAGTGCCCCATCGTTGGTGTCAGTGGGGAGGAATAGTGCCCCATCGTTGGTGTCAGTGGGGAGGATTAGTGCCCCATCGTTGGTGTCAGTGGGGAGGAATAGTGCCCCATCGTTGGTGTCAGTGGGGAGGAATAGTGCCCCATCGTTGGTGTCAGTGGGAGGAATAGTGCCCCATCGTTGGTGTCAGTGGGAGGAATAGTGCCCCATCGTTGGTGTCAGTGGGGGAGGAATAGTGCCCCATCGTTGGTGTCAGTGGGGAGGAATAGTGCCCCATCGTTGGTGTCAGTGGGGAGGAATAGTGCCCCATCGTTGGTGTCTGTGGGGAGGAATAGTGCCCCATCGTTGGTGTCAGTGGGGAGGAATAGTGCCCCATCGTTGGTGTCAGTGGGGAGGAATAGTGCCCCATCGTTGGTGTCAGTGGGGAGGAATAGTGCCCCATCGTTTGGTGTCAGTGGGGAGGAATAGTGCCCCATCGTTGGTGTCTGTGGGGAGGAATAGTGCCCCATCGTTGGTGTCAGTGGGGGAGGAATAGTGCCCCATCGTTGGTGTCAGTGGGGAGGAATAGTGCCCCATCGTTGGTGTCAGTGGGAGGAATAGTGCCCCATCGTTGGTGTCAGTGGGGAGGAATAGTGCCCCATCGTTGGTGTCAGTGGGGAGGAATAGTGCCCCATCGTTGGTGTCAGTGGGGAGGAATAGTGCCCCATCGTTGGTGTCAGTGGGAGGAATAGTGCCCCATCGTTGGTGTCAGTGGGGAGGAATAGTGCCCCATCGTTGGTGTCAGTGGGGAGGAATAGTGCCCCATCGTTGGTGTCAGTGGGGAGGAATAGTGCCCCATCGTTGGTGTCAGTGGGAGGAATAGTGCCCCATCGTTGGTGTCAGTGGGGAGGAATAGTGCCCCATCGTTGGTGTCAGTGGGGAGGAAATTGTGCCCCATCGTTGGTGTCAGTGGGGAGGAATAGTGCCCCATCGTTGGTGTCAGTGGGAGGAATAGTGCCCCATCGTTGGTGTCAGTGGGGAGGAATAGTGCCCCATCGTTGGTGTCTGTGGGAGGAATAGTGCCCCAATCGTTGGTGTCTGTGGGAGGAATAGTGCCCCATCGTTGGTGTCTGTGGGAGGAATAGTGCCCCATCGTTGGTGTCAGTGGGGAGGAATAGTGCCCCATCGTTGGTGTCAGTGGGGGAGGAATAGTGCCCCAATCGTTGGTGTCTGGGGAGGAATAGTGCCCCATCGTTGGTGTCAGTGGGGAGGAATAGTGCCCCATCGTTGTGTCATTGTTGGTGTCAGTGGGGGGAATAGTGCCCCATCGTTGGTGTCAGTGGGGAGGAATAGTGCCCCATCGTTGGTGTCAGTGGCGAGAATAGTGCCCCATCTTTGGTGTCAGTGGGAGGAATAGAGCCCCATTGTTGGTGTCAGTGGGGAGGAATAGTGCCCCATCGTTTGGTGTCAGTGGGGAGGAATAGTGCCCCATCATTGGTGTCAGTTGGAGAAATAGTGTCCCATCGTAGGTGTCAGTGGGGAGGAATAGAGTGCCCCATTGTTGGTGTCAGTTGCAGGAATAGTGCTCCATCACTGGTTTCAGTGAGAAGAATATTGCCCCAAGGGACAGAAAAAAGAAACAAATTCCTTAAGAAAAAAAAAAAAAAAGCCTCCATTCACATCGCTCATCAATAGTGACAGTGGGATAAATGGTGCCCCATCTTTGGAGTTAGTGGGAGGAATATTGCCCCATTGTTGGTATCAGGGGGGAGGAATAGTGCCCCATCGTTGGTGTCTGTGGGAGGATAGTGCCCCATCGTTGGTGTCAGTGGGGAGGAATAGTGCCCCATAGTTGGTGTCAGTGGGGAGGAATAGTGCCCCATAGTTGTGTCAGTGGGGAGGAATAGTGCCCCATCGCTGGTGTCAGTGGGGAGGAATAGTGCCCCATCGTTGGTGTCAGTGGGGAGGAATAGTGCCCCATCTTTGGAGTTAGTGGGAGGAATATTGCCCCATCGTTGGTATCAGGGGGAAGGAATAGTGCCCCATCATTGGTGTCAGTTGGATAAATAGTGCCCCATCGTTGGTGTCAGTGGGAGGAATAGAGCCCCATCGTTGGTGTCTGTGGGAGGAATAGTGCCCCATCGTTGGTGTCAGTGGAGAGGAATAATGCCCCATCGTTGGTGTCAGTGGGGAGGAATAGTGCCCCATCGCTGGTGTCAGTGGGGAGGAATAGTTCCCCATCGTTGGTGTCAGTGGGGAGGAATAGTGCCCAATCTTTGGAGTTAGTGGGAGGAATATTGCCCCATCGTTGGTATCAGGGGGAAGGAATAGTGCCCCATCTTTGGTGTCAGTGAGGAGGAATAGTGCCCTATCGTTGGTGCCAGTGGGGAGGAATAGTGCCCCATTGTTGCCCCATTGTTGGTGTCAGTGGGGAGGAATAGTGCCCTATCATTGGTGTCAGTCAGGAATAGTGCCCCATCATTGGTGTCAGTGGGAGGAATAGTGCCCCATCGTTGGTGTCAGTGGGGAGGAATAGTGCCCCATCGTTGTCAGCGGGAGGAATAGTGCCCCATTGTTGTCAGCGGTAGGAGCAGCGCCCATCATTGGTATCAGTGAGAGGAATAGTTCCCCATCATTGGTGTCAGTGGGGAGGAATAGTGCCCCATCGCTGGTGTCAGTGGGGAGGAATAGTTCCCCATCGTTGGTGTCAGTGGGGGGGGAATAGCGCCCCATCGTGGGTCTCAGTGGGGGGGGAATAGCGCCCCATCGTTGGTCTCAGTGGGGGGGGAATAGCGCCCCATCGTTGGTCTCAGGGGGGGGGGAATAGCGCCCCATCGTTGGTCTCAGTGGGGGGGGAATAGCGCCCCATCGTTGGTCTCAGTGGGGGGGGAATAGCGCCCCATCGTTGGTCTCAGTGGGGGGGGAATAGCGCCCCATCGTTGGTCTCAGTGGGGGGGGAATAGCGCCCCATCGTTGTCTCAGTGGGGGGGGAATAGCGCCCCATCGTTGGTCTCAGTGGGGGGGGAATAGCGCCCCATCGTTGGTCTCAGTGGGGGGGGAATAGCGCCCCATCGTTGGTCTCAGTGGGGGGGGGAATAGCGCCCCATCGTTGGTCTCAGTGGGGGGGGAATAGCGCCCCATCGTTGGTCTCAGTGGGGGGGGAATAGCGCCCCATCGTTGGTCTCAGTGGGGGGGGAATAGCGCCCCATCGTTGGTCTCAGTGGGGGGGGAATAGCGCCCCATCGTTGGTCTCAGTGGGGGGGAATAGCGCCCCATCGTTGGTCTCAGTGGGGGGGGAATAGCGCCCCATCGTTGGTCTCAGTGGGGGGGGAATAGCGCCCCATCGTTGGTCTCAGTGGGGGGGGGAATAGCGCCCCATCGTTGGTCTCAGTGGGGGGGGAAAATAGCGCCCCATCGTTGGTCTCAGTGGGGGGGGAATAGCGCCCCATCGTTGGTCTCAGTGGGGGGGGGAATAGCGCCCCATCGTTGGTCTCAGTGGGGGGGGAATAGCGCCCCATCGTTGGTCTCAGTGGGGGGGGAATAGCGCCCCATCGTTGGTCTCAGTGGGGGGGGAATAGCGCCCCATCGTTGGTCTCAGTGGGGGGGGAATAGCGCCCCATCGTTGGTCTCAGTGGGGGGGGAATAGCGCCCCATCGTTGGTCTCAGTGGGGGGGGAATAGCGCCCCATCGTTGGTCTCAGTGGGGGGGGAATAGCGCCCCATCGTTGGTCTCAGTGGGGGGGGAATAGCGCCCCATCGTTGGTCTCAGTGGGGGGGAATAGCGCCCCATCGTTGGTCTCAGTGGGGGGGGGGAATAGCGCCCCATCGTTGGTCTCAGTGGGGGGGGAATAGCGCCCCATCGTTGGTGTCCGTCAGTGGGGGGGGAATAGCGCCCCATCGTTGGTCTCAGTGGGGGGGGAATAGCGCCCATCGTTGGTCTCAGTGGGGGGGGAATAGCGCCCCATCGTTGGTCTCAGTGGGGGGGGAATAGCGCCCCATCGTTGGTCTCAGTGGGGGGGGGAATAGCGCCCCATCGTTGGTCTCAGTGGGGGGGGAATAGCGCCCCATCGTTGGTCTCAGTGGGGGGGGAATAGCGCCCCATCGTTGGTCTCAGTGGGGGGGGAATAGCGCCCCATCGTTGGTCTCAGTGGGGGGGGAATAGCGCCCCATCGTTGGTCTCAGTGGGGGGGGAATAGCGCCCCATCGTTTGGTCTCAGTGGGGGGGGAATAGCGCCCCATCGTTGGTCTCAGTGGGGGGGGAATAGCGCCCCATCGTTGGGTCTCAGTGGGGGGGGAATAGCGCCCCATCGTTGGTCTCAGTGGGGGGGGAATAGCGCCCCATCGTTGGTCTCAGTGGGGGGGGAATAGCGCCCCATCGTTGGTCTCAGTGGGGGGGGAATAGCGCCCCATCGTTGGTCTCAGTGGGGGGGAATAGCGCGCCCCATCGTTGGTCTCAGTGGGGGGGGGAATAGCGCCCCATCGTTGGTCTCAGTGGGGGGGGAATAGCGCCCCCATCGTTGGTCTCAGTGTGGGGGGGGAATAGCGCCCCATCGTTGGTCTCAGTGGGGGGGGGAATAGCGCCCCATCGTTGGTCTCAGTGGGGGGGGGAATAGCGCCCCATCGTTGGTCTCAGTGGGGGGGGAATAGCGCCCCATCGTTGGTCTCAGTGGGGGGGGAATAGCGCCCCATCGTTGGTCTCAGTGGGGGGGGAAAAGCGCCCCATCGTTGGTCTCAGTGGGGGGGGAATAGCGCCCCATCGTTGGTCTCAGTGGGGGGGGAATAGCGCCCCATCGTTGGTCTCAGTGGGGGGGGAATAGCGCCCCCATCGTTGGTCTCAGTGGGGGGGGAATAGCGCCCCATCGTTGGTCTCAGTGGGGGGGGGAATAGCGCCCCATCGTTGGTCTCAGTGGGGGGGGAATAGCGCCCCATCGTTGGTCTCTCAGTGGGGGGGGAATAGCGCCCCATCGTTGGTCTCAGTGGGGGGGGGAATAGCGCCCCATCGTTGGTCTCAGTGGGGGGGGAATAGCGCCCCATCGTTGGTCTCAGTGGGGGGGGAATAGCGCCCCATCGTTGGTCTCAGTGGGGGGGGAATAGCGCCCCATCGTTGGTCTCAGTGGGGGGGGAATAGCGCCCCATCGTTGGTCTCAGTGGGGGGGGAATAGCGCCCCATCGTTGGTCTCAGTGGGGGGGAATAGCGCCCCATCGTTGGTCTCTCAGTGGGGGGGGGAATAGCGCCCCATCGTTGGTCTCAGTGGGGGGGGAATAGCGCCCCATCGTTGGTCTCAGTGGGGGGGGAATAGCGCCCCATCGTTGGTCTCAGTGGGGGGGGAATAGCGCGCCCCATCGTTGGTCTCAGTGGGGGGGGAATAGCGCCCCATCAGTTGGTCTCAGTGGGGGGGGAAATAGCGCCCCATCGTTGGTCTCAGTGGGGGGGGAATAGCGCCCCATCGTTGGTCTCAGTGGGGGGGGAATAGCGCCCCATCGTTGGTCTCAGTGGGGGGGGGAATAGCGCCCCATCGTTGGTCTCAGGGGGGGGGAATAGCGCCCCATCGTTGGTCTCAGTGGGGGGGGAATAGCGCCCCATCGTTGGTCTCAGTGGGGGGGGGAATAGCGCCCCATCGTTGGTCTCAGTGGGGGGGAATAGCGCCCCATCGTTGGTCTCAGTGGGGGGGGAATAGCGCCCCATCGTTGGTCTCTCAGTGGGGGGGGAATAGCGCCCCATCGTTGGTCTCAGTGGGGGGGGAATAGCGCCCCATCGTTGGTCTCAGTGGGGGGGGAATAGCGCCCCATCGTTTGGTCTCAGTGGGGGGGGAATAGCGCCCCATCGTTGGTCTCAGTGGGGGGGGAATAGCGCCCCATCGTTGGTCTCAGTGGGGGGGGAATAGCGCCCCATCGTTGGTCTCAGTGGGGGGGGAATAGCGCCCCATCGTTGGTCTCAGTGGGGGGGGAATAGCGCCCCATCGTTGGTCTCAGTGGGGGGGGAATAGCGCCCCATCGTTAGGTCTCAGTGGGGGGGGGAATAGCGCCCCATCGTTGGTCTCAGTGGGGGGGGGAATAGCGCCCCATCGTTGGTCTCAGTGGGGGGGGAATAGCGCCCCATCGTTGGTCTCAGTGGGGGGGGAATAGCGCCCCATCGTTGGTCTCAGTGGGGGGGGAATAGCGCCCCATCGTTGGTCTCAGTGGGGGGGGAATAAGCGCCCCATCGTTGGTCTCAGTGGGGGGGGAATAGCGCCCCATCGTTGGTCTCAGTGGGGGGGGAATAGCGCCCCATCGTTGGTCTCAGTGGGGGGGGGAATAGCGCCCCATCGTTGGTCTCAGTGGGGGGGGAATAGCGCCCCATCGTTGGTCAGTTCTCAGCGCCCCATCGTTGGTCTCAGTGGGGGGGGAATAGCGCCCCATCGTTGGTCTCAGTGGGGGGGGAATAGCGCCCCATCGTTGGTCTCAGGGGGGGGAATAGCGCCCCATCGTTGGTCTCAGTGGGGGTTGGAATAGCGCCCCATCGTTGGTCTCAGTGGGGGGGGAATAGCGCCCCATCGTTGGTCTCAGTGGGGGGGGGAATAGCGCCCCATCGTTGGTCTCAGTGGGGGGGGAATAGCGCCCCATCGTTGGTCTCAGTGGGGGGGGAATAGCGCCCCATCGTTGGTCTCAGTGGGGGGGGGAATAGCGCCCCATCGTCGTTGGTCTCAGTGGGGGGGGGAATAGCGCCCCCATCGTTGGTCTCAGTGGGGGGGGGAATAGCGCCCCATCGTTGGTCTCAGTGGGGGGGGAATAGCGCCCCATCGTTGGTCTCAGTGGGGGGGGAATAGCGCCCCATCGTTGGTCTCAGTGGGGGGGGAATAGCGCCCCATCGTTGTGGTCTCAGTGGGGGGGGGGAATAGCGCCCCATCGTTGGTCTCAGTGGGGGGGGAATAGCGCCCCATCGTTGGTCTCAGTGGGGGGGGAATAGCGCCCCATCGTTGGTCTCAGTGGGGGGGGAATAATAGCGCCCCATCGTTGGTCTCAGTGGGGGGGGAATAGCGCCCCATCGTTGGTGTCTCAGTGGGGGGGGAATAGCGCCCCATCGTTGGTCTCAGTGGGGGGGGAATAGCGCCCCATCGTTGGTCTCAGTGGGGGGGAATAGCGCCCCATCGTTGGT